AGCACAGGGCTTTCCCGGCCCGCGGGGCGCTCACCCTCGCGCGCTGGGGGAAGCCGCCCTGGAGGGGTGCTCGGTGGGGGCCGGCGGCCCTGTCTCAGGTTCCCATTGTGGCAAGGACAGTGCGGTGTAACTGCCTCCCCACCCCCTGTCTGTCGTACAGATGGAACTAGAGCGGCGGATGTGCCGGCAGGAACTCGCTCAAGCGCTTGGTCGGTGGAGCGGAGCCGCGTTGTGCCGCGGTGGTCGGGGTACAGCCAGAGCGTGACTGCGCCTTACGTGCTGGCTCCTACCCTTAGCTGCTGCTCCTGCAGTTTCGTTCAAATTTCATTAATACCCTCCTGTGATAGCAGCTTGACTGCTTCTCTAGGCATGGGAAGTGGTTCCATACAGAAGTGCCTTTACACCAGCTCCTACCTGATGGGTACACCGTGTGTGTTCTACTCCCACTGAGTTCCCTGTAAACGGCCAGAGAGAAATTACCGCAGAATGAGAAAGGGGCTTACGCTGAGGAAATTTTCAAACATATAGCGAGTTTCCAATGAAAATAAAGGGTATGGAGACATAGATGAAGATTACTAACAGTGGATCCTGTACTTGACTTTGTATTTTAGTGACTGACGGGTACACCGTGTGTGTTCTACTCCCACTGAGTTCCCTGTAAACGGCCAGAGAGAAATTACCGCAGAATGAGAAAGGGGCTTACGCTGAGGAAATTTTCAAACATATAGCGAGTTTCCAATGAAAATAAAGGGTATGGAGACATAGATGAAGATTACTAACAGTGGATCCTGTACTTGACTTTGTATTTTAGTGACTACACGGAAAGACTTACTAAGGCCAGCTTTGTGTTGTCCAAGTTGCTCTACGTTTTATCTTATGCGTTTAGCAAATTCACATGTGGATTTGGATGTGAATAGTCAAGCCTGTATATCCAAGAAACCTGCAGAAGTTAAAGGTGAGAATTACATATAATTTAGTAAGCAAAATTAATCTTGTCCCCGCTATGTGGTTCAAACTTCAGTTTCAATCAATATGTGGAATGGTTAAACTTACAATGGGTCAGAATATAAAGAAGGCTCCAGTTAAAGCAGAGTTAATCTGTCTGGCATGCTCTTACTGGCCATGCACTTGAGGAAGAAGAAAGGTAGGCTATAGATGAAAGGATTAGAAGCATGTGGTGTTCCTATATATGCACCTTTAATCCACTGTCATTATAGCATGGACTGGCTGATGATGACAATGAGGTAAGTGATAATCTTGCTAATTTATCTGTAAATGTTGTGATAAGATGACCTCACTAAGGAAGGAGCTTCCTTAGATCCTTTTCTATGTGTGCACATGGAGAGACTGGGAACACTTTAGCAAAGAGTTGCCTAGTTCACATCTTTCGGTATCACAGTGTTCCTGCTTGCTGGAAATAGAGCCAGCTTTAAGCCAATGAAGTCATATTGTTATTACCCTACTGTGAGGAAAGAATCTAATTTAAGGACTCTTAAGTAAATCAGAGTTTTTAAATACCTGGTATCATGAAAGTAAAAAGAAATTAGTATAACTTGAACATACTGATGAAAACAGAATTTTGAAATTTTCTTCTGTATGGAACTATGGAGCTTTTTGTACCTTGAACTTCAGTGCTTGCCTAAAGATGGTTTGAGTGGACCAAGAATGTGGTTATTCAGAGGACTTCATCTTGTGGGCAGGGAGAAAGTGGGAATGGGTGCAGTGCAACTTGCAGGCTACATTACCATTCATAGTGTCAGCAGAGGTTAAGGCAAAACAAAAAAAAAATCACGCTGGGAGAGCTTAGACATTCAGTCTTTATGTAGGCAAGCAGCCAAGTTCAGGCACCCTCCCTGACACCACGAGCCCAAGAACCTGACAAACACCACTCTGTATGGAGAACAGGAAGAAAAGCACAACTATGTGTTTTCATTGAAACTGGCATCTCTTCGTGGCATGCCTCAGGATGTGTCACATTTTTAGGGAAAGGGGGGCCCTAAGAACCCTTAATTGGAGGGTGAGGGACTTGGGTCACAAAATCTGGAGAAAACGAAGTACACTGGAGTATTCTGAACCAGTGGAGCCCACCAAATCCTAAAGTCAGCTTGAAGATTTCATCTGTTTTGGCTAAGGTTGGCAATTTTAGCTAGTCATATGTTAATTTACTTCCTGTTCTCTTTTGTGTTCAAGTGGGCTGAACAGTCGAATCCTGCTTTCTGACCCCCCACACCTCTGGGAAAGCTGCCTGAAACAGGCTCTCCCATTTTTAAGTTCATTTTAGGTGATCTTGTCTCCTGCTCTCTCTCCTAACATGCCCATGTTACACAGGAAGGGGCAAGTGGTAGCGTCAGGTTCCTCAATTCTTGGGCCTGTTGGAAAGGTACCTGGACTTAGTTTCTCTCACAATTTGGACACGAAAACTTCAAGCTCCTGCATTTCTGTTGTCCCCCACATATGACAAAGTGACCTAGGATGCCCAAAGCTCTCCAAGACTGAGGTGACCCAGATGCTGACAGAGGCATTTCAGATCACCAGAGAGGTGCTGGGAGCTCCTCCCCATGTCACAGTTTCCTTGGGTTCTCCTCCACTGAGGTGTCCTGAACCCTGCTGTATTAACGCTTCACTGATCCTCAGTGGATGCAGTGATCTGGGAACCCCTGTTTGAGGTGTCAGAGGCCCACTTGGACTTTGTCCTTGCTTCTGCAAAACTCAGATGACAAACAGCAATCTCAGCCATCCCAAAACTGAGTTCAGGATCAGCAAATTCAAGATTCACTTGTAAGAAACAAAACTGTCAACTTCATAATAAATGGGCTGATCCATCCAGGTGAATTCTCAGTACATTTGTATTTAACACAATAAACGCTTGATGACTTCATACAACAAAAAACATGGATCATGATCAGGTAAATGACTTTACAGGATTTTGTGCCCTGAATATTGCATGATGATGTTTGGACTGTAGTGTTATGATCAGCAGTATATTAAGCACAATCATGAAGAATGAATACTCCCAAAAAATATGGAAAGCAGCTATTGAAGAAATGTGACCAATCTCATGTTGTCTGCTAAACACAGCAAAACACTCCAACTGCACCTAGGGATTCTATATGTAATTTTGAAATTATCCAACACCTTAGTGTAAGAATTCAGTTCAGATTCTATAAACCAATTTCAGGCTCAGTTATCCTCTTTCTCTTCTGCAAGCTCACTTTCTCAGCATTCCAGGTCACGTGAAGACGCTTTACTGCTTTAAGGCACAAGTGACTGTTTAACGGAGTTAGGAATACGGCTGGCATAATAGTCATAATTTCTCAAAGTGGCAAGGACTCCAGCTGAATTCATGTGCTTCACTTCCTTGTTATACTGAAATGAATTTCCATGGATATCAGTTATCTTGCCTAAAAAAAAAAGAAAAAGAAAATAAATATTCCAGTAAACAGGAGTTGGAGAGCTAAAATCTGTTTTATTAGTACAAGTGACAACTAAAAAGCTGATGGTCTTTGGCATACACGTGCCTGTCTGCAGATGCGAAATGTCTTTGCTCTCAGTTTAAGAGCAACAGGTTTTTATTGACTGAAATCAAATAAAGAATGGTTTTGTTTTCCTTCAGCAATATTTAAATTCCCTGTGATTCAGGAAAAGGAAAAACAACATCTCTCTTACGGATTAATTAAAATGCTTCTCAGTAGTTTTTACATTGGCCGTTGACAAGAAGGGAAGAAAAATCCTCGGTTCAAGTTTAAGCTGGGTTAAGTCTATACACCAACCTCTAATACAATCCAGAAATACCCTACATGGTTTTAAATGAGTTTCCAGAAATCACTTAGCAAGAGCACCACAGATCTTTATGCCACCTAATTTAACCACGAGATACCTTCATAACAAGAAGGCTAAGTACAGCATTGTGCTGCCCCAGATTGGTTGTTTTTTGGCGCCTGAGCTAACCTGTTTGAAGTTATCAACACTGGAAACTGCAGAGGAGTTGAATTATGTCATTATGAAGCCTGTTATCCTTGCTTGACAGAATTTAAGAGATCAAAGCCCACAATTCTAGCATATGGTGGTAAAAGGCCTATCAATGTGAACAGCAGAAGAGGTATAATAACAATACTTGTCAGTGAGACTTCTTGTAACTTTTCTAACCCCTTAGAAAGGTGAAGTGGTTTATGTTGGTTGGAGATCACTAATTTTCCTGAATTACATGAATGACTCAACTCTGGAGTTTGTACATGTGAGGAACAGCTGCACGGTTTGGCCTGTTGTGTTAAAGAATGCAATGTCCACACATTACATAATATTTTACTAATAATAAACTACTACATGCAGTTAGTAGGACAGTGTGGTTTTGGTTTTACTGTGACACAGCAGCCAGCAGAAAAAAAGCCACTTGCTTTGAAAATATTAAAATCAATATACCCAAAATTTTGGATTTTGTCTTTTTTGATTATTTGACCGTTACTGACTGCATTAGTCCAGGGCAAAACTGATCATATCATGCTTTCCAGAGCATTTTGCTGCCTCTTTGGAGTTACTGTTGATTTCAAAGGGCTCAAACACCTAGTTAATTGTGACTATTCAAAAATACATATGTATTGTCATTTTTCTTCCCAAAGCCATGTTTTGAAATTCATTTTTTCCCTGTCAAAAATATAAGCAACTTCAAATTGATGTGGTTTCACCTGGGATTTTGACTGCTATTAACTTACCTCCCACAGCATGCAGGATAGCCTCAGGTGCACATGTATCCCATTTCTTGCACCCAGGACTGGCAAATACGTAAGCAGATGCCTTGCCTTCTATAAGCTGAATGATCTGTTACGAAGAGAGAGTGGCAGTCATTGCAAAGGATCTAGGCATTTAGAAATGGGTGAAAATAACACCAGGCATTAGATCAGTTTCCTTGCTTACAGTCAGAAAAGGAACACCAACCACTTCCTTTCAAACATTACAAGAAATTAGAATGTTTAGAAAGATAGACTGTATTACCATTCTGCCTGTTCCGGTTTTGATCGTTAGAAACGCAGTTTATAGGATGAAATCTGCTTTTCAAATTCCCAGCCTGTGCAAGTACTAAGAAAATAAAGTGGAAACTATCTCCATGTTATCTCTATATTGTCCTGGTGCCATTTTGGGCCTTGCATATGGTGGAGAAAAGAGATTGGAGGGTCTGTTTTGGAAAACCATGGCAAAAAACTAAGCTTTCAAAACTGTAGCAAATGAGTATTCCCTGTATGCAGAGAAGGCCTGCAAAGGAAATACTGTGTGCTTCTCCTGCTTTCATCCTTTGTTATGTGCTGCTAGAGAGTTAGAACAAAAACTGTATTAACATGAACAGAAGAAAATGTCTAATAATTATGATTAAATTGTATGGACATTTAGTCATTCTGGTCTCAGAACTTTTTATTTTCTCCCATAGAAACAGAATATTGGGGAAGATGGACCTGAGCCATGACCAGCACGGCTGTTGTTACAAAACACCTGTCCGAAATTCTGACTCTCCACAGCAGTCTGAATGCTAGGAGAAGTTGTGCTGGGGATGGAGGAGGAAGCGTCCTGTACATTCATGCAAGTAAGCAAATGATTTCTTTAAAAGTTCTTTTTTTAGAGGTAATAAGGTTTCTTTGTCCCAGTAAAACCAAAAGATTTGGAGTTTTCATACCTTATTTCCTGCCCCTCCAACTCTGATGACACTGTCTGGGTTCAAGGCACTGATGCAGTCGTTTACCAGGGTACTGCTGTGAGAACGGGTTGTAACGATGATGTGTTTCCCAGCAGGAGCTTCTGTGAGCTGAAATCCAAAGGCACCTATGCCCAGGACTCCCCAGATTGTCCTGCCCAGCACAGCATCAGCTCCTGCCTACAACGTAGATGCACAGATCCAGGTGATGGTTAATCAGAGTGATCAGCATTTAAAGCACAAATGGAGAGCAGTACCTAGAGAAATGTTTGCTTACTTGGAATATAATATTACTACTGCGATATACGTTTAAACAGTGGCACTTAAAAAGAGCTACTCTAAAGGCCCAAGTGAGAAACTGGCTCTCATTCTCTCTAAGGCAATGAAATCATTCCCTATTTTCTTATCTGTGACATTGTGGTGATACATTATGTCCTGCCTCTAATGACTGGCAAGTAAATATTTGTGTATTTCTCTACTTCAGGCACAATCTGTAACTGAAAAATTGACATTCTGTATGTTTCATCATAGATGTTGTGTAGAACATACAGAATCAGCTGATGATATACATTAAATCAGCTCAAGAGCTTTTTCTTTACATTCTAATAAGTTTAATTAATCAGACTGTATCCTAAGCTTTCCCCCACCCTCACAGATAATACTGAAATAATCTCCAAACATGTGTAAATGCCTGTAGGTTGGCCGTCCTGGACTTAGACCAGAAACCTGGTGTGACAGACTCTGACCCAGCTGTCAGTGAGAGCTACGCTTGGTTTATTGAGGGCTGCAGATTTATGGCAGATACATCACAAATGCACCCACTGCATGCGTTTACTAAAGAATTTCTAGCAAAGACTGCGAAAACACTGATCTGTACTAGGTTTACAGTATGTACTTTACATGTACAGTATGTAAAGTACATATGTAGTATGTACAGTATATATGAAATATATACTGTATTTGTGTATTACCCAAGCCTCAGGATTCAGTCTGGCCGTTAGTAGGTCCCGAAGATTTAGTTCCAGGTAACCAACATTCAAAATGGTATATATTTAATAAAAACACCACCACCTTATATTACAACATTAACTCTGCTACACACTGATTTTCACTTGAACATATGCTAACTAGAAATAGCTTAGAAATGACAGTCAGAAATCACCTAAAGCTTTTAAACAAATCAGTGCATTTAATACCTCATAGTTGTAATATGGCTGGTTAATAACTCCTGCTATCGCTTTGCCTCCGTAAGCAATTCCAATAAGAACTGTTACATGGTCAAGGAGCCCTGTATAGAAATAATATGAATGTGAATATGCATGGAAAAAAAAAGTGTATATATGTTTAAAAAATAAACCTTCAATTAAAGTCCAAAACTTGATATGCAGGGTGGTATCTTAAAAATGCAAATACTAATCAGGATTTTCAGGTGTAATAGGTTGGTTGATGCAATTTTTTTTTTTTGACATTTAGCCTGGAGGTCTGCAAAAAAAAAAAATGCCCCAGATAGACAGAATTCTTTTATTAGAACTACGTTATAATTAAAGCACAATGAGAAGGAAGTTTAAAGATACAACTGAATAGCAGTATATGATGACATTCTTCAGTAACTGTGGTGTGAATTCTTTAATGACATTCAAAACTAGCAAATTTTTGGCAGGTGCACATCTCTCTCCCTGAAAAGGGGAAAAATAATCTGCCTAAAAGATGCAGCAGGAGGCTGAAGTGAGGTTTCGGCATGTTGGTTTTGGAGTGTTTTCTTTTCTTCTTCATTTTAGGGTCTATTCCTATGGGCACAAATTAAGCTTTGCTGAAACCAGTTTCTTCTCATAACTGAAGAATTATGATTTGCGGGAAGATGTTATTTCATTTTGAAAGGGCTACAAACACAGCTGTGGTTTGAAGAGGAAAATGTAAGTATAATTGAGCATATTCCTGTGTGAATGGGGGATTTTGTCCCTCCTTTCAAAGTGTATGCATAATTGTGAGTTTGACTAAACCCTTAAGACAACGTGCCAGCAAAGGCAGCCCATTGCTCCTGGAAATGATACAGACTGGTGGGCACTCAGTAACCCATCAGGAATATTCAGTACTGGTTAGAACTGAATGGAATGATTAAAAAATTCCATAGAACTCCAAATGCAGAAATAATATCAGCCTTATGAAACAATGCTGTATGGAACTTCTATCATAAAACTACCTGCGTGTACGTGCCACTTTATTACACTGCTATAATTTTTTTTGAATCAGCAGAGTTAAAAGAGAAGCCAACCTTCAGTGTACTCCTTGGTTCCATCCAAGGGATCGACCCATATTACAAGCTTTAAAAATAAAAAAATAAGGAGAATTAACAAATATAAATCATGTAAAATTACCATGCAAAGTATGTACTTTACTTTAGTGCTTTTATTTCCTTACAGTAGTAAGGAAATAGTGATTCAAATTTTTGACATGATGATAAGACTGAAGCCTACTGTAGTATTTTACTCAAAAACCAGACTGGAACTTCTCAGCAAATATCCTAGTAGAGATATGAAGGCTTAAACTAAACATGGAAATTACATTACTTATGCTCAAAGTAGATTAATTCCAAATTAATTTGAATCACAAGTTGTAAGCAGCAGATTTCTATTTCCCATCATTGAACACAGGGAGCGTTTCCAGCTCTGGAGGTGTAATTCTCATGACCACGTTTCAGTTTTCAAGCCAGAAAGAAAAATTGGGAACATTGAGATGACCTTTTTTTCTTAATACATTCCTAGCTACAATCAGTAAGTAATACAGTCTAAAATACGAAGACATAGGCATAACATTTCCACATTACCTCTTCCTCTTTAATTCCTGTGTACTGAGCAGGGCAAGTTTTCTTCAGTATTTCTTCACAGTGGCCATCTTCAATTAATTCCTCAGTTACCTCATCAGTGGACAGTTCCTAACAAAAGGAATTATTAGAAAAAGGTGTTGGACTTACGTCAGTTTGCCTTAGAACTTGTAGATTTGCTTGCAGCTCACTTGACAAAGCTAATGCCATGCAAAGGTGAAATGGGATGGAAATACTTCTTTTTTTAAACAAACAAAAAAACCAAGAACCAGATGATTTTGTAAAACCTGCCAAAGGAAATTAGTTAGACTCTTAGTAAGAAATAAACTAGGTACTTACTTCTTCTCCTATAATTGTCACCTTGGGAAACTTCCGTGCCAGGGAAGCACAAATGCTCATTTGTACCAGCCGGTCAGCTTTGGTCTGCAAGTCGTTGGCTCCTGTCTGTCAAGGGATGGGTAGGAATTTGTATATTTCAAAACAACAACAAACAGTACAATGGCCCATATATGTCACTCTGAATATCTACCTTGTAATAAAAAAGAAGTCTAATTTGATACATCATCAAACAAGCAAGTGATGTTGAAAGAGGCAGGCTAAAAACTGACAGAAGCAGAGATTCCTTGTACACCCCAAAGCCCTCATAGAATCATGGAAGGGTTTGGGTTGGAAGGGACCTTGCAGACCATCTAGTTCCAACCCCCCTGCCATGGGCAGGGACATCTTCCACTAGACCAGGTTGCTCAAAGCCGCGTCCAGCCTGGCCTTGAACACTTCCAGGGATGGGGCATCCACAGCTTCTCTGGGCAACCTGTTCCACTGCCTCACCACCCTCTCTGGGAAGAACTTCTTCCTGATATCCAATCTAAATCTGCCCACTTTCAATTTAAACCCGTTACCCCTTGTCCTGTCACTACAGGCCCTTGTAAAAAGTCTCCCCAGAGCTTCATTATAGGCCCCTTCAGGTACTGGACTGGTATGATATTAGAACATTTACATGCTGTGTTTTTCTCATGCAGTGGTGCAGTTGTACTGAATATGTGTTTGTGTAAATATTAAACTATGTGTAGAATAAATTAATACAAGTATGAACCCCGATACTAATACAAGAAGAGGGAAAAGCAAAACTTAAGATGTTAACAGAGAAAATGAAATATTTTAAGGCTCGCTGGAGAGACGTGGCAAATAAGGAAAGATGAGGAATACAGGGAAGGTGTTAGTAAAAGGTGAGTTAAAGGTCCAATTAACCTAGCTTGCTTAAAAACCACAATAAGGTAAACAATTATGATGTATGAACTTCTACGTAGTGAGTGGTTCCTTAGCCTAGCAGGTAAAGACCAGGGAGAGCCAGAAGCTAACCAGCACAGCTGAACTGGACAGGAACACCCCCACATTTTTCTCCAGCAATAATACTAGAGAGAAAACAGTGGGTGTAAGGTGACATGAAACAATGGCTGAAAGCCTTCCCAAAAGATGCAGTGTAGCCGAGCATACATTGCCAGATTGGTTACAGCAATTCTTCTTAAACATCTGTAACTTGCTCTATAGCGGAAGTAGGTAATTTATTAACACTGCCTCACTTTAATCTTCATGTATCTGTGAATGGAGAGGCCCTTTAGGACTGGAGGCCTGTTTCCCAGTAAGAATTACTTCTGTTAGCACCGGAATTAAGAAAGTCAGTTCACTGAAGGATTTGCATCTTGGTTGGATCAAACAAAAATTTTATCTGCTTGTCTCTTATTTGGTGACAACATGACAATTGTTTTATCCAGCTACAGAAATTAGCCATAGAAATGGAATATTCCATTTAGAATCATGTTATGGGTTAATTTTTGCATGCTCAAAACCCAGTCTGTCCCTTATCCAATTCTCTATATTCATGAAACTTGATACTGTCCTTTCAAACTTCCTTCTCATCCCCTTAGTACATTTGGCTGAATTTGGCACTGAGGTTATACTTGATGAGATCAAGTTATTGCAGTGAATGTCCTCTGTTCCAGGACACCAACCTAATAAAAAGTGATTCCTCCAAACAGCCATCAGTAATGTAGGAGTGGCTGGGCAAAATATCTACCTACCAGCTGGGGGCAGAGGGGTGTGCGTAGTAAAAATGCTACACGGAGAAGTAATACAAATGCAGAGCTCAGAGTTGACTGGGGGAAAGAAAACTCTGAACATCAGGAGAGGACGGAGAGGAGCTAGCTAAAAATTAAACTGTCCTTGAGCTGTTTTTCCTCACCTAGATAAATGGATGGGAGGTGAGTAGGCTGGGGGAAAAGGTGGAACAGGAGTGGAGAGCACTAGTCACTCAAACAGGAACCTCTTCTGTTAGTCATTACTCCAAAGACACAAAATTAGACTGAAAGCATTCATTTAAAAACAAAGTATGTACAATCAGTCTTAGATCCAATATCACCTGTTACTTTTGATTATTTTTGTAATACTGTATTTACAACTATTTACTTAATTGGTTACAGAGGTTAAAATGTGTTCATTTGCTGGGTTTATTAGATCAGAAAATAATTGAGTAATTAATCTGATTTACTGGGAAATAATATTGACACACGTGCAAGGTTTTTTTAAGTGAAACTGAATTAAACAGATTAAAAACAGCATTTAGTTTTAGTTAAAACTACCTTAACCTGTCTGGACTCTTAAAAAATAAACTTAAACTTGTTTATGCATTTAGAATTAACTGCTTAATCAAACAAAGTACAGACAGTGCTTCCTTTTTACCTCTGGATGCAAGTATATTAAGGCTTTCTTGTAGTGAAGCTGCATTAGTTTTACCAAGAACCTAAAAGCAGGTTATGTGGGAGAATATATTCTGCTCACGTGTCGGAAAATCCTGCTACGCATCTAAGTACTTTTGAACATACAGCTCATTACAGGGTTTTTCTTTAATTCTCTCCCCCATACACCTGATTTTAATTGCTTAGTAGAAAAGGGAATAAGAAAAACTTGCCAATGTTTTCATAGTGGTGAATGTAACTGACCCAGTGGGGAAAAAAATCTTTTTGCATGTACTGTCTGAATGGACAATAAAAGTCATAAAGGGTCAGGCTTTTCTTCACAACTGGCTGAAAGTGCTTACTATCAGAAAAATGTAAATACGTGCAATTACGTCAATGTAAAGACCAAAAATAATACAGATATTTAATGTGGTCCATAATATTGTGACATACCTGTAAAGCTGGAATTAACCTCCAAAGTTAACTCCATCTATTCTAGTATTGTAGTCAGAACAAAGATCCTGTCTCATCAGTGCAGCTAACTTACAGCCAATTAAGAACCGCATGCAGATCATTGTAATTTCATTCGTAGAATCACAGAATGGTTTGGGTTGGAAGGCCCCTTACAGACCATCTAGTCCCACCCCCCCTGCCATAGGCAGGGACCCCTTCCACTAGACCAGGTTGCTCAAAGCCTCATCCAGCCTGGCCTTGAACACTTCCAGGGATGGGGCATCCACAGCTTCTCTGGGCAACCTGTTCCACTGCCTCACCACCCTCTCCGTGACCTTTTGTTTTCTATTTAAATGTGAAGCTCCAAAATTAATTTGAAAACTGTGATTTACAATAAAATCTTAAGGTTCTTTATTGAGTCATCCTAATGCAAAATTCATCAAGGGCACAGTACTTTAAGCTGTACTACAGATGTTAGAACACAGGCATGGAAATTAAGGGAAGAGACACGATTACAAATTCTGACATGCTATCCAAAGCTTGTGTTTTGTGAGGACAAAATTATGATGTGTTTCCTTCTGAACATTCTTTAGAAATGCTGCTCAAAAGACACTCCTCCAGTGTGCTTTGAATCCTTTAATAAGGGACATTTCTGGAAGAGGTGAGGACTCGATTTCTTTCCCCAGTTGCTGATCGTCAAAACTACCACTCTGACCTGTATCTAACCCAGCAGTACTGAAAGCAATTAAACTGGAACAAAGTAAAAGTCCTACCTTCTCCACTATCCCCAGATCTCCTGCAGCCATTACATTTCTAACAATGGTTGAAGCTTTTTCTGCAACAGAATACGCAGAGGCGACCACACGCATGAGGAGAGCTGGAGAAGCCATGCTGAGTGCTGAAAAGAAACAAAAAGCAAACGTGTATGTTTCAGTGTTTGAGAAGACAAGAATGCAAATATTTTGGGTAATTCCAAACAGATACAGTTTAAGCTGAGCAGGAAGGCGAAAGTGGGTAACTGCCAGCGAGCAGTACTGAAGCGAGCTTTTGGCATTTTTAAAAGTACAGTTAACAAACACAGGGATATAAAGCTATTTTAAGCAAGCTTTCTCAAACATCCATGAGCTGTCTGACAGCGAGCCCAGTTCTCCTCACTAAACTAAAATCTGGCATTAAACAAGAACAAAAGCAGCAGCAGAAACCCTACATAAATGTTAAGACAAGGTGTAGTCTACACGCAGTATTCATTTTCTGTGCCTTTTGAGTTCATTTTTCAGAACTGAACCTATGGAGTTTATGCCCAAACTGAAATATAAGGACACGGGACAGGCCAATAACAGCAACTTTCCTTACTATTTTTATTTGCATAAATATAAAACAGGCTTTTGCGATGGCCTAATTGCAGACACAAAACAGGCTAACGATACGCAGATAAACACTGCACCTGTATGCCAAAGTCTGTTCATTCAAGTTTTACCACCCTTGCTGTATTTCTCTAACTTCTCTTGATTTCTTTAAGGAAATCTTACTACATCTTCATGTGATTACACCACATCCTCTAGTACAAGGTGTCCCTGCCCATGGCAGGGGGTTTGGAACTAGATGATCTTTAAGGTCCCTTCCAACCCAAACCATTCGGTGATTCCATCCTCCCCTCAACACTGCATGTTCTGTCATTCTTCCCTCGGCATTGTCTTCTCTGTCTGTTCCCCGGCACAAATCAGTGCCATTCACTGTCCCTTCAGCTCCCAAACAGAAGAACAGCTATTGCTCTTGCGAAAGGTTAGCAGCCATCCACTCCTCCCAGCTTTTCTCTGCCTCGGGACAAAGAGGTATTGATATCCACAATGTATTCTTTAAAATGCAGAGCTAATTGCTCTTTAGGTTTTCCTGTCAGGTTCTTCTCTCTGTCTAGATTTCATGCTTTTTGGGCTTACATGTATGATATACTTCCAAGTACAGAGGAACTCATTAACCACCACATAGAAGACAATATATTAAGCTTCCCTCACAATAAACATTTGTAGCAATTGCAGCACGTATCGTGTAAGTGGCGATATGTTGTTATACAATCTTTCCTTTGCTTGAGAAACCTACTCAGTAAAGTGTAATAGAATGAGGTGATAAGGCTAGCTCCTATAGACCTCAAGTTCACATCTCTTTACAGCAAACAGCAATGTAAGAGGTATCAAAATCCCCGATTTGGCTGATTTAAGAACCCTTTCAGCATTTTAGAAACACTGTACAGGTATCTCTAAAGTGAGAAGATCTCTGAAGCTAAGGGTGTAGAGTGATTGTGAAAGTACATTCAAAAAGCGCAGTTGCTGCTGTTTATTATTTACTGCTCCCATTATATAATGGATGGGAGCAAAGTGCTCTGGAGTCCTGTAAAATAGCCAGGGTCCATACCCAAAGGGCACATGTAGTTTATCTTAGACTGGCAACAGTGGTTACAGAGGAGATTTTGGAAGTGCTGCCTGTGGCAAAAAGCAGCTCTTCAACAACTGGAGCTGTAGAGCAAATATGTGTCATAGCACATGGGAAGACAGATGCTATTTTAAGTATATACCACCATGTGAAACAAGTTAACAGGAAGGAAAATTGAATGTGGTTCATTCTGTACTGAACATACCTGGTATATGAGTAATTCTGAGAGAGAGAGAAAAAAAATAGCATAGTAGGTGGGAAGTTTGGGTTAAAGAATTGAGCTCAGAAGAAAATAAATTAAGACTATACTCAGCTTCTCATTCTTCAATTGACCTTTTACTGGATATCTGATCCTGCTTCATAAAATGAGCCTAAAGCTTACTTAATTGCTTTAAAGGCTTGTTTTATTATATGTCTGCACAAAGTTTCAAAAGCCTCAGAAAACAATACAGAAATAGTATCTTCCATTCTTGAAGTTCGAACCAAGGTGTTTCATGGACATGTTTTTATCGGACATTCTTAAGGCCAGCAAGGCTACTTTCTTTCTTTCTGTAGTGAACCTGCCTGAAATCTCTCAGCAAACCTTAAAATGAAAATGTTCCTATGACTAAAATGGGAGGTTCAGCACCCCCTTCTTCCGATACAAAGTAACTGACCAACGAAGTGACAAGTATGTTATTACTGCAAAAGGTGCCTTAAGTTTTTAGAGGGATCCATCTCCTGTGTGGCACATTTTTGGGTAAGTTGAGCCTTTTTGGTTAGATGCTGGTTGGCCATAAGTTTCTCATCTCTGTAACTTTGTGATCTAAAATTAACTCATTTATGAGTTATGGCACATTCTTTCCGATGAGGGCAACATTTAACCTGTACTTTCACAGTACACTCACGAATATATTGCTTGCTTTGGGCAAACAGGTTTGATTCTTACAAAACCGTACCGTTTACAAAGATTGCACAGTGACTATCCCTCAGTTTAAACGCGCCTATTGCTTTAAAAACATACCTTTGCCCTCCAAAGACCTCTCCTTTCTCCTAGCCTAGCAACAAACCTAGAATGGTCTCAATTTGACCCATCAGCCTGCTTTGATACCTACCAAAATGAACGAGCTCTCCAGTTCTTGTTATGCATTTTAACTTTAAAATACTTAACAGAATGGCTACAGTTAACTTATCAAAACACGTATGGAGGATCTGTCGATGTTGCTATGCAGTGTTTTTTCTGCAAACGTCCGTTTTCCAAATTTGTGGTTTCACCTGATGCAAGGAGAAAGCATCACTCCCAGCAAGTGCTGACCTGTCACTTCCTCCCCTGAACTCTTCCAAGCCCAAGCGACTGGAGCTCCCCATTCCTTTACAAAACAACTCTGACTCGCGTTTAGCAAGAGAGAAACCTCTCGTTCTGTGTGGCGTAAGGAACCATTGGCCCAGCAGAAGCGGGCAGGGACGGGAGCCGCTCTCCCC